TTCGAACTTGACCTGCGTATTATGAATATTCATCAGTTCTGTAAATTTGAATACAAAATGTAAAACGGTATTCCACTTATCGTGTTATCGCTGAGTGCACGACGACGACGGCGACGACGGCGACGACAGACGCAGATGATGGCTATATGTACAGACACATCTGTGTCTGTACATAAAAATGACTGACAAAGACGACACTATGCCCAACTGATACCTGGTGTTTCTCGCGGACACGGAAATACTCAACTCAGGTACAGAATTGCTCACAAAAAAAAACTAATAAATTTTATTAAATGACAGCTGATGTAAACATTCACGCTAATTGATTAACCTGCAAGTAAGTTCACGCACCATGCATGCAGTCTGCCACTGTGTCAAGTGTAACATTTTACTTCACATCTTTAGTTGATATCTTATTATTTTAACTACATTTTCATTTATTTTAGTCATCTTATTCTGTTCATTTTACCCATGTTAAGTCTACTGAACATTTTTAGGCTGGATTTTAGACTATAAATTATTATTATTATTATTATTATTATTATTATTATTATTAATGTCATTAAATATAAAACTATACAGCTTCATGTATCCGAAGGTTGATCAGAATGGTCATTTTATTACAAAGTGCATTATATCCAAAACAAGAAACTTAGACAATTTATTTAACACTTACTTGATTCGTGTTCATATATGTTGCCAGATATCAATGAACTACCAAAACGGAATATGTTTCTTGCTATCTGTTTAATATATATATATATATATATATATATATATATATATATATATATATATATATCATTAGCATCGTGTACATAATCTGACAATACAGTTTATTCGAATGTTAAACAGACCGCAGTTTGAACTTTGTTTTAAAATCTGTGTATATATAGTTAATATATTAGCAATCTGCTTATTATATATATTGGCAAACTGTTTCCTGTCACTGTCACGTTCAGGCAATCGGAATGTTGACAGGCTCTTCTTGGTACTTGGGATAGGCTCCTGGGCAGACGCTGGTGGCGCCATCTGGTACAGTGGCATCGATCGTGACCACCTCACATCCCATGTTGGAGCAGTAGTTCCAGCCTTCCCTGTCGTATTGCGCAATGATTTTAAGGAACAATAGTCTGGAAATAAATATTACGCGTAACATACATATGTATGTATCTTTTTGTCTTTCTACACCCCCCTTTACTTCTTTATCTTGTACTGGTGTGTACGTGCACCTGTCTAATGATATATATACTGTAATGTACTGATCTATCTTTTGTTATTTCCGACATCACTCTAGGAAGGACTTTTTTCGGATTGTAGCTACTATTGTAACTCTGCTGAAGTAAACGATAGATTTGAGCTTCAGATTTAGTGCAACCCTCGATAAATGAATGGATTGTTCTATAGATTAATACCAATGGGCTTCAAATTCAGATCCATCCCCAGTCTCCAATAGTCTAGATGAACTGTATGGCGCATTATACCAAACACTCACCCAACTTCTGAATCCCAGTAATATACGTCACCATTGCCATTTTTAACTTTATCCAACGACTGGACTTCTGTCAGGATCTTTTGGGTGCCGCTTGTCCATCTGGCTCTGTATTCGATCTCAGCAAATGTTGTCCCAAGGGGGTAGCAGAGTCCAAGTATGATATAGTCGTTCCTGGAAAAATGAGGATACAGGAATTAAACGAAACGTAAATGAAAACTTTACAGGCACTGAGTGGTTTTCGAGTGAGCATTGTATAATCTAAAATTTCAGGTGTTTTGCCATGGTTTTCGACACGGTAATTACCATTTGTTTATGCCTTGGTTACTTAAAGCCCTCTTTTTGATATTCACGCTGTTACCTTAGTCAGATAATGGTACCAGCAAAAAATAAAACATTGCGAACACGTATACGTATAGTTGAAGTTTGTATTATATTTGATCACCATATATCGGGGATATATAATTTACCAGGAAAACTAGAAAATATATCAGTGGATGGTGCGTGCCTCAGTAATCTGATAAATTATGGTAGCTAAGAGCACCTCCATTGAACAAGGCTATTGGCCCTATCTCTCTATGGTGAAAACCTCTATTTTCAGAATTCTCGAGTTTGGGCCCATTCATGGATGTCGAACGGGACCACGGATCACCACTTAACCCTAATCACGTTTAAAAAGTATGCTACCTCATTTCTGACCTATTCTGAAAATATCAGCAAATTCCGCCCATGGCGTTTTGAATTAGACTGATGACAAACAAACAGACAGACAGAAGTGAATACATAACATCCTGGATGGAGTTAGTAGGATATAGACCACCTGTTGAAATTCATAAGGTGAAGAGAAATGGTTTCAGGCGCAGTATCGCTCCAGTGGATGATGTAGGTTTGTCCTATTAACATGGACGGCTGATATTTTTTCCATTTACTAGCGCTGGTGCCTCCTGATTGATTCTCCAATTCAAGAGGCTTGTCTGGGTGGTCCGTACGAGTCATGCTCATTATAAGGTTATCGCTTATCGGTATTACCCACATCTAAAAACACAGAGATCATCAAATTATCATTTAAACAAAAGTCGGCTTCAGAAATGCATGTATATGTATTTCTAATTCACTGCATTTATTTCAAATAACTGAAATTATTGAAGTATTCTTTATTTAAAATAAACATTTTACTGGCAGTATACATAATGCTATTCCATATACCGTGCACAGTTTTATCATCATAATGCGTAGAGTGAAAATGGTTAGTTCTTGGTCATTGGCACTAAGTAAATAACGCAACATGTATTTTACAGCTTTCAATCTCAGAAAAAGCAATATGAGTTCTTCACACCAACCAACCTGTGAATATGATCCTTTACAGACTACGCAATTCCATTCGGGTTTTTCTACACACCCATCATGGCGGAGAAGATAGTTGTCTGCTCGAATGACGTAAGAGTCTGTATAACCACTAACGGAGCCGTCCGCGTCGTGGAAAATCTGAGTTTTGTCGCCATCTCCATCTGGTTTAGTGGAAATATAGCCAGTTGGGATGCGATGAAGCCATGCACGGCGAGTCTGAAAAAAAACGAACATATCACTTATTAGTAATTTAAGTCAGACAATGGGTCGTGATCAAGGAATACTGCTTCAAGGCATAAACCACTTCGAACGCACACCTACCGCCGTATATTTACAGCTGGTACAGATAAACCGATTTTACGACACGAATAGAACTTCCCACTTCAGATATTTGATGCTGAGTTGCAATTTGCATTGCCTTGTTTTCAGAATATTACGTCCTCTGCTGTATGTCATCCTAGACATACAGCACAACCATGTGCTACATTAGACACTAATACGGGTATTTCAGACGAGAAGATAAACTGAGAATCCGTAGTTACCACGTCGTCAAACGATGCCTCAAGGAACCTGCTTGTTGGAGCAATCTGGAACTTGTTTTCGAGGAGGAACCCAATGGCTGCTGTGGCTTTGTTGTACTGGCTCACGTAGCGCTTAAACTGGCATCTTTCTACGGAGATGGGACCGTCGTAAACAACCATGCCCCTCCGGGGTTCTACTCTGGAAATTGCGATATAGGTACAATGTATCTGAATACCCACGTTGCCCATATAATGAGGAGTGTCTTATAAGTGATAAACGCAAAACGAGAGTAATTGACCTGTCATGGTTTCTTCGCGCCATACATACAAGGTGAAATTGCATGGGCATAAGATTTTATTATTTTGCCAGAGCAAATTAAGGTGCCTTACCAAGGGGAATAGGCCTATTATGCAGCGACTCACTTTTTGTTTGGAAAATTTCGCATCTTTCCGTCAAAGCCTTCTGCCCAGTTTGGATTGTCTGTTCCCAGATTTTTCGTTCCTCTGTTCTCACTTTCGCCGACAAAGACGGTATTTATGACTTCCTGATGACTGCCGGGGTCAAATGGGGTTCTTCCTTCACTGTATGGTAAAACCCATTATAGAAACAGACTCAAAACTGATCGAATATCATTTACATGTAATGGTTAGTGTTACCCTGACCTAAGTGGGTCAAAATCTAGAGCGAGGCTTACCTGCACAAATGAAGGGGAAGCTTACTCGCTATCATGGAAGACAATCTGCTACTTTACAGCGGTCATTTACAAAAATTAAGTTCTATCTACATTAAATAGTGCAGCGATAATATGTTTAAAGAGGATGCCAGTCACAACCTGCCTCTTCTATAGTTAGCTTACACTCGTTATCTAGTAACTACATATACGTAACAAAGACCAGGACCAAGGAAAGCAAGTTCAATATACAAACGGAATGCATTCCAAACAGGATTATTTTTAAAGTTATAAACAAATTTCAGGCACCTTCGATCCTTCGTACTACAGAGCCATTTCACTCTAATGTATCAGGTGACGGAACGAATCAAAATAATGTGAGCATTCTATAGGTCGTTTTATTTTCCATCGAATGGTAATTACCTTGCTAAAATGATACCTTCCGTGACGTCAGCAAACCTGTAATTCATTTGGAAAACCATGTCATTTTGAAAGTTTTTCTACATTTGGAAATACATACCGGGTAACACCGGTTCTATGTATTCAATATTCCCCTAAACATAACTTTTTTAAATTCTAGGTTTTTTCTATAAACACAATTACTTGCAAATATTTAAACGTGTAAACACATTAAATGCATCGGTCAGAGTTTAAGTATGTAGTACCATTATAATCGGAAGATAACTATGCATAAGACCGTTCTAGAAATAATAAAACAAACGTTGAAGGACGTCTTTGTCTTTGACATACCAAGAGTCTTTAATGGTAATATCACCACCACGTGCCCATATCCCCCAGTTTGCTGCCTTGAACGCCGTGAAGCGCTCTATTAACGAGGTGGCCCTGGGCTTATCGATGTCAGCGTCCACGTGGGGAGCGTGTCTAAAAAAAAAGAAAAGGAAACTTAAAAAGTTAAAAGTAAAACCACGGTTAGTTGCCAGTATCATGCAATTGCACGTAATCGTCACATCCAGATCCCTTTCATTACAGGACAAAATCTTTCGGTCTTTAATGGTATATCCATTCAGTTTGAAGTCAATAAGTTAAATACCATGTTACCATTTTTAAAGAAGTTGTGAATAATCTTAAATCTAAATATTGGAGAAGCAGCCCCCTGACAGAGTTTTCAAATGTAAAATAAATATTTCTTTTGTGAAGATGCACACTTTATAAAAGTCTGTTAAAAGTGAAAGGTAATATTCATGATAACAAAGGCAGGAACACTTAAGGGTCTAATTGGCATATTTTAATAACAGCCATTTTCAGTGGCGTACCAAAGATACTCTGGGAAGGGCACACGCAATGGATGTTACCCGAAGGAGGGATAAGTTAATTGGATTAACTTAATTGGTGCTTATCATATACATGTACGTGCCTTTTCCTCCCAGATTTGTCAGAGTGCAGGTGCAGTGTTGCTTTATGTTTCCCTTACCTTGCCGATGCCTGGATTGACAAATATTCGGCCGGGTCACTCTCGGTTGACTGTGTGATTTTTACCCCGTCATCCAGCATCAGTGCGGCCTGCAATACGCATGCGTCAAAATAATTCCTTTTAACTAAAGACCTGGGATTTCATTTCAAACTGTGCCCCTGTATGTCAGAGATAAGCCCTTGAGGGACAGGGCATTTGAATTTATGATGTTAATGTTATTGGGGCACTGATTAACGTGTATACTGTTGTCTTATTCCGTTTAACTTGTTTACGTATAGTCCTAAAAATGCTATCATTTTTTACTGCGTAGACGTGCAATCTCGAAACGGACCACAGACCACTTCGGTTTTTTAAATAATAATAATAATAATAATAATAATAATAATAATTAAAACTTCGAAACGTAATTTCATTACATGAGTGATATTGATCCTGCAACCTTCAGTGAATTAACATGGCCTGTTTCATCGCAACTGGGGATAGAAAATTAACTGACAGTAAAATAATTATTCTAAATTAAAAAAACACGTTTCGAGAGATATAGCGGCTTGTAATGTAGAATTTCCATGTAGATGACGTTTGTTCTAGCGAGGAACTGGCTTTTTGAACGAACCCCAACGTTGCGGGGTAACATTAAAGTCATTCTCATGTCACTCCTCATTTTTCACTACCCCTTTGCAGATATATCAAAATTGATTTATATCATTCAAATAGAAATAGAATTTGAATTTTGCTTGTCATTATAATCGGAATATAACTACATGTATAGCACCGTTCTAGAAATAATAAAACAAACGTTGATGGACGTCTTTGTCTTTGACCTACCAAGAGTCTTTAATGGTAATATCACCACCACGCGCCCATATCATGGTCAGCAGACGAACCTATTTTGGCAGGACATCCCACTTTCTTATTTTATCTTGACACATCCTCTCATGTTGTTAACCGTGTCTATAACCATTTCATCGCCGTAGTGCAGCCATAAAATACATTGCCCTTGTTCGGAGGAAGGATATGTGGAGGATGTTGGCATTTATGGGGTGTATTTACATGTACCTCTTAACCTAACATTAGTATAAAACATAAAATCATTTACCAGTAAATATAAATAATTATATGTATATGCTATATATATAATTATTTCACTGTTTTAAACAGAAGATTAATGTCATTGTAACCACTCTGACAATGTTTAATATCCTTTACCCCCGATTATGACACATTTGGGTTAGGTCGTAAGAAAATTATCGTGTTTGTCCGTAATGTGCGGTTACATTGCACTAAGTGACTTTAAATTGAGACGTGGGCCGAATTTTTGTATAAAACACGCTGTCTCGACTAATATTTTCATGTCATCGGTATTGACAGAAACCGAGGGAATTGTCGCCATGAGATCAATCTTCGTCACAATTTTGATATTGGGCCTTGCAGCCGTCAATGTCAATGGTAAAGTATATTTCATTATATGATAAACTTTATGGTTTGTTGAATTGCACTGTAAAAAATTAACTTTTGAAAACATGCTAATAGAATTGTTAGTGTTAAGTTTAAAGGAACAAAATGATATGATGTGCGTTAGGTCCTTAATTATTAGCAAGTAAAGAAAAATAAAGATAATCAAATAATTTTAATAAAATAACTATCCACGACATTTCAGCAGTATTTCTTTTAACACCAATTAAAGCGTGTTATATCCAAAACCACAGACAAATTAAGGATGTATAATCCCGTTTTAAAACTCTTAATTTCGAACCTAAAAAATCTTTTTAAATTGTAATTTTTTCAACTTTTTTTACCAACCTTCAAGAGTATGGGAAATGTTTCCAAATTAAATTTCATTCTGTTTCCTGACGGTCAAATGCTCATTGTGTGACAAAATGTTTTGTAGAACTTCTTTTAATTGTTTTAAATAAATGTTTTAAATGGTTTTAACTGTAGTAAATAAAAGTGTCTCGTGTCTTGCACTAGACAATTTCATGAGAGGAAATGCTGGACAAGATGTCAGGAGAATGTTACAGTCCGCTCCTACAAGCACATGCATTTATAAGACGCTGCATTTCGAAAATAATATTATTTCTCGAAAATAAAATGCCATGTCAAATAACCGTACGCGTGATTCCAGTATTAAACACATACGATAGCGTGCGTTTTCGGAATTCCCGGAGGCTTAATCATCAACCAAATGAACAGTAGGCTTTCTTTTAAAACCAAATTAGATTCTTTCCCCCAACATATAAATGACATATCAGCTTTGTCTGTTTGTTGGTTTTAGGAATATGTCGGATGACGCGGCGTGCAAATGCATTCTACGTCAAAGGACGCGACATTGACAACTTCATAACAGGGTCTGAAGGAAGATGTTCCGACGCATGCGCAACTAATCGTTTGTGTGTTGCTGCCACCTATCGAACTTCTGACGGCCGGTGTTGGCGACACAGTACCTTGAGGAGAACTGGCTCGGGAAGTGGATGGGTTGCTTTAAAGAAAGACGCAAGTTGCGTCAGTAAGTAACGAAGGGAGATTTTATTTCTTGAAAAATGCTTTTTTCAAGAATAAAATTGCCACACTGATATCAAGTCAATATCATGGTTGAAAAGTTTTAGAAATTATAGCTAGTTTTGGACGTTCTATATTCAATTACAAAAGCAAAGTATCCATTTAAAAATCATATATGCATTGTGTCATGGTCAAGTTTCGTTACAATTATAAAACATTACTGTTTCACAGTGCATCAATGATCAGTTCTTGCTAAATTCCAAGCATGGATTATTCAGTTCATTTTCATCACTATTTTGACTTTCTCATAGCTCCCACGCGGACCCAACTCAAATCTGTTACAGTATAACAATTTTGCGTTTGCAGAGCCGCTCAGTGGAACAGTAAAATACGGGTACCAAAAGGTGGACAGCGTGGCCCTTAAGATGAAGCTTCAAGAGATTGCAAACTTTTTCAAAACCACGGTGACCGTCACGAGTGGAAGACGCAGTGGTTTTGATCCCTATGTAAGAGACATTATTTGTGCAACTGGAATCGCTTGTATCTAGCTTAATACGACAACAGAAACTTCTTAAATGTGCTAGTATTTGTATAATATTTATTATGATTTTGTCCCATATGTTCTTCATTTGGAACTAATGCCTTCGAAAAAGTCATATTTCGCATTACCCACCGCATTTCAGCAATAATGTTGAAATAAATGTCAGGAAAGAAATAGGGGTTGATAACAATTGTCAAATTTATGCACAACACATATTGGCGCCGAGGCCATACTCCAGACTCTATTATTATTATTATTATTATTATTATTATTATTATTATTATTATATTATTATTTNTAAGCATTGTATAATCTAAAATTTCAGGTGTTTTGCCATGGTTTTCGACACGGTAATTACCATTTGTTTATGCCTTGGTTACTTAAAGCCCTCTTTTTGATATTCACGCTGTTACCTTAGTCAGATAAATAGAACATTGAGAACACGTATACGTAGTTGAAGTTTGTATTATATTTGATCACCATATATCGGGGATATATAATTTACCAGGAAAACTAGAAAATATATCAGTGGATGGTGCGTGCCTCAGTAATCTGATAAATTATGGTAGCTAAGAGCACCTCCATTGTACAAGGTTATTGGCCCTATCTCTCTATGGTGAAAACCTCTATTTTCAGAATTCTCGAGTTTGGGCCCATTCATGGATGTCGAACGGGACCACGGATCACCACTTAACCCTAATCACGTTTAAAAAGTATGCTACCTCATTTCTGACCTATTCTGAAAATATCAGCAAATTCCGCCCATGGCGTTTTGAATTAGACTGATGACAAACAAACAGACAGACAGAAGTGAAAACATAACATCCTGGATGGAGTTAGTAGGATATAGACCACCTGTTGAAATTCATAAGGTGAAGAGAAATGGTTTCAGGCGCAGTATCGCTCCAGTGGATGATATAGGTTTGTCCTATTAACATGGACGGCTGATATTTTTTCCATTTACTAGCGCTGGTGCCTCCTGATTGATTCTCCAATTCAAGAGGCTTGTCTGGGTGGTCCGTACGAGTCATGCTCATTATAAGGTTATCGCTTATCGGTATTACCCACATCTAAAAACACAGAGATCATCAAATTATCATATAAACAAAAGTCGGCTTCAGAAATGCATGTATATGTATTTCTAATTCACTGCATTTATTTCAAATAACTGAAATTATTGAAGTATTCTTTATTTAAAATAAACATTTTACTGGCAGTATACATAATGCTATTCCATATACCGTGCACAGTTTTATCCTCATAATGCGTAGAGTGAAAATGGTTAGTTCTTGGTCATTGGCACTAAGTAAATAACGCAACATGTATTTTACAGCTTTCAATCTCAGAAAAAGCAATATGAGTTCTTCACACCAACCAACCTGTGAATATGATCCTTTACAGACTACGCAATTCCATTCGGGTTTTTCTACACACCCATCATGGCGGAGAAGATAGTTGTCTGCTCGAATGACGTAAGAGTCTGTATAACCACTAACGGAGCCGTCCGCGTCGTGGAAAATCTGAGTTTTGTCGCCATCTCCATCTGGTTTAGTGGAAATATAGCCAGTTGGGATGCGATGAAGCCATGCACGGCGAGTCTGAAAAAAAAAACGAACATATCACTTATTAGTAATTTAAGTCAGACAATGGGTCGTGATCAAGGAATACTGCTTCAAGGCATAAACCACTTCGAACGCACACCTACCGCCGTATATTTACAGCTGGTACAGATAAACCGATTTTACGACACGAATAGAACTTCCCACTTCAGATATTTGATGCTGAGTTGCAATTTGCATTGCCTTGTTTTCAGAATATTACGTCCTCTGCTGTATGTCATCCTAGACATACAGCACAACCATGTGCTACATTAGACACTAATACGGATATATTTCACACGAGAAGATAAACTGAGAACCCGTAGTTACCACGTCGTCAAACGATGCCTCAATGAACCTGCTTGTTGGAGCAATCTGGAACTTGTTTTCGAGGAGGAACCCAATGGCTGCTGTGGCTTTGTTGTACTGGCTCACGTAGCGCTTAAACTGGCATCTTTCTACGGAGATGGGACCGTCGTAAACAACCATGCCCCTCCGGGGTTCTACTCTGGAAATTGTGATATAGGTACAATGTATCTGAATACCCACGTTGCCCATATAATGAGGAGTGTCTTATAAGTGATAAACGCAAAACGAGAGTAATTGACCTGTCATGGTTTCTTCGCGCCATACATACAAGGTGAAATTGCATGGGCATAAGATTTTATTTTGCCAGAGCAAATTAAGGTGCCTTACCAAGGGGAATAGGCCTATTATGCAGCCACTCACTTTTTGTTTGGAAAATTTCGCATCTTTCCGTCAAAGCCTTCTGCCCAGTTTGGATTGTCTGTTCCCAGATTTTTCGTTCCTCTGTTCTCACTTTCGCCGACAAAGACGGTATTTATGACTTCCTGATGACTGCCGGGGTCAAATGGGGTTCTTCCTTCACTGTATGGTAAAACCCATTATAGAAACGGACTTAAATCTGATTAAATACCACTTACATTTACTTATAAATGTTACGGTTAACCTGACATCGGTGGGTCAAGATCTAGGGCGAGGCTTACCTGTACAAATGAATAGGAAGAGGACTCTATCATGGGAGACAATCTGCTACGTTACAGCGGTCATTTACAAAAACTACATGTAAGTTCTATCTACACTAAATAGTTGAGCGATAACATGTTTAACGAGGTTGCCTGGAGTCACAACCTGCCTTTTTTTAGATATAGCTTAAACTCGTTATCTAGTAACTATATACATGCATACACGTAACTAAAGACCAGGACTAGGGAAAGTAAGTTAAACATCATACAAATGGAATGCATGCCAAACAGGAGGATTTTTAAAGCTATCAACAAATTTCAGACACCTTTGATCCTTCGTACTACAGAGCCATTTTGCTCTTACGTTTCTGGTGACTGAACGAAACAAAAATAATGTGAGCATTCTATAGCTTGTTTTATTTTCCATCAAATGGTAATTACCTTGCTAAAATGATGCCTTCCGTGACGTCAGCAAACCTAAAATGTGTTTGAAAAAATACAAGTTTCTGTAGATTAAAAACGCATCCAATAATGTTGTTACACAATTTAGTTCAATGCGTCATTGTAAAGGACATTTTCAATATACTGGGATTGGAACATTGCATATAGGCTTACGTACTCCACTTGGAAATGCATATCGGTAGCACTGGGACTATGTAATCAATATTCCCCTTAATATCACTGTTTTTTTTTTTTTTTTTAATCTAGGTTTTTTTCTATACACACAATTTCCTGCCCATACTAAAACATGCAAACACATTAAGTGCACCGGCCAGAGTTTAAGTATTAAGTACCATTATAATCGGAAGATAACTATATGCATAACACCGTTCTAGAAATAATAAAACAAACGTTGAAGGACGTCTTTGTTTTTGGCCTACCAAGAGTCTTTTATGGTAATATCACCACCACGAGCCCATATCCCCCAGTTTGCTGCCTTGAACGCCGTGAAGCGCTCTATTAAAGAGGTGGCCCTGGGCTTATCAGTGTCAGCGTCCACGTGGGGAGCGTGTCTAAAAAAAACAGAAAAGGGAGCTAAAAAGTTTAAAGTACAAACACGGTTAATTGCAAGGATCATAAAATTGCATGTGATCGTCACATGCAGATGCCTATCATTACAGGACATGATCTTTCGGTCTTTAATGGTAAATCCATTCACTTTGAAGATAATAAGTTAAATTCCATTTTACTATATTTAAAGAAGTTGTGGATAATCTTAATCTAAATATTGGAGAAGCAGCCGCATGACAGAGTTTTCAAATGTAAAATATATATATATATATATATATATATATATATATATATATATATATATATATATATATATTTTTTTTTTTTTTTTTTTTTTTTTTTTTTTTTGTGAAAAATACAAAATTTTTTTAAACAGTTTG